GCCTCTGAGATAGGACGTCCTTGGGGCTGATTGGCATTTTGCCCCAAAGTGACTTGCACAGGACAAGGGACTCTGACACAGCTTGTGTGTACGTGATGGGTTTTTTGTCATCTCCTAGAGGAAGTATGTACTGTGAGGTTACAGTCTCGGTAAGATGGATTTGCTCTTTCTTACTCCCCAGCCATCCCGGTCACTCAGCCTGCCTGCCTGCGGCTTTGTTCTCCCTCATTGATTTTCCCAATCCCTCCTCTGAAGTTTCCTTAACCAGAGGTGCCGTTTTCCTTCTTGGTTTGCTAAGGCCTGTAAATACCTGTATGTATCTGTGCAAACAAGCCCACAGACTGTCAGATCTGCGACAGCCGCAGAGCCTGGGTGAGGAGGCCAGGGCCAGGGGCCTCCTGGGAGAGGAGCCTTGTCACAGCCGGAGTGTGCTCGTGGCAGGGTGGCCATTTGGACCCAAGTCTTGGTACAGAAATATCTTTTGGAGCCAGTGACCACCCGATCTCTGTGGCGTTGTACCTCATCTGGGCCATGAGATGGACAGGGTCTGTGAAGGCCCCTTTGTAAATGGCTGAGATACATAAAAGGTTAATTATTGCTAACCAGGCTCAGGGCCCAGTGCTCCTTCAATCCACTCAGGGACTGATAACCCCGTGGCCATATCACTTTGAGGATGGGAACTTGTCAATTGAGAGTTATCATTTAGCCCGGCCGGCGTGGCTCAGTGTTTGAGCGTAGACCAGGAAGTCACTGTTCGATTCCCGGTCAGGGCACATGCCCGGGTTGCAGGCTCGATCCCCTGTGGGGAGCATGCAGGAGGCAGCTGATCAATGATTCTCTCTCATCATTTTTATCTCTCTCTCCCTCTCCCTTCCTCTCTGAAATCAATAAAAATATACATATATTTTAAAAAGTTAACCACTTAGGGGCGCCAGATAGGCAGGCAGGGCCGATACTGATGCTTCCCGAAAGCCCGGTTTCCACACAGCAGCCAGCGATCGGCACTGGAGCTTACTGTGCGCTAGCCACTGCTCTGAGAGTTTGTCTGTAGTTTCCGTTTATAGTACCTCTGAAAGGTAGCATTATTGCAGCGCCTCTTTTGCAGATGAAGAAACTGGCACACAACAGGTAAAGAACTTGCCCAAGATCACAGAATAGCGAGAGCCCGAGCCTGGATGCAAACCCAGGTCTCTTTCGCAATGTGTGGGTCCCCTTCCCCTACCCTTCCCCTGTTCATCACTGTTAGCCGGCACTTACCAGCAGAGCATTGGTTTGCTCATTTATTCACCTTAGTACTTAGCATTTGCTCAAGTGTGAACCCAGGAGAGATTCTTGGCAAATGTCAGTTGATTTAGGCTTTGAGTGGCCACCCAAGCTTGACCTTGGCCTGGCCTCTGGTGTGCCCCAAATGTGCCCCCTCAAGTAACTTGGGGGTTATCGCGGCTACCTCGTCTTCTTTTTCTGTCCAAGCCTGAACGTCTTTCTCTCCCGGATCCCAGTGGGCTGTGCGGCTGCCTCTGCCATGCCTGTTAGTTATCTCCCGGGAGGCTGGCTTCCTGTCTGCCCTCTGATGAACTGGCTTCTCAGAGAAGCAGTAGCTGTGCCGTTCCTTTGGCCCTTGCACAGTTGGCCTCAGGCTGCCAGCTATGGAACAAGCACCCTCCGGGAGTCGGCAGCCCTGACGTTCAGTCCAGCCTCGACGTGTAGTCGCTGAGGGACCTGAACTCGTCAGGCTCAGCCCAGCTTGTCTCCTCTGTATGAGCTGGTTTAATAGCGGCAGGTGGTAGTGAGGTCTGAGTAGTGGGTAGCGGACCTACACACCGGCTGGCAAGAAGCAACAGATAAAAGACAGCCATTCTCTTTTTATTATTAATCCTCACCCGAGGATATTTTTCCATTGATTTTTAGGTGGGGTGGAAGAGAGGGAAAGACAGAGAGATACTGATGTAGGAACACATCATCGATTGGTTGCCTCCTGCATGAGCCCCTACCAGGGCCCAGGCTGGGAGGAACCTGCAACCAAGGTACATGCCCTTGACCAGAATCAAACCCGGGACCCTTTGGTTCGCAGGCCGACGCTCTGTCCACTGAACCAAACCGTCTAGGGCTGGCAGCTATTCTTAATATTGCTAATGGCCCTTCCAACTCAAACTTTCTGTGAATTTGCATTCATTTCCTGTGTCCCCTGGAAAACAGAAACCCCCTCCAAGGACCGTGTCTTAGGCCTTCTTATATCCCTGACCCTTCCCTCGCTGCTCTGAATACAGACTCTCAAGAGTTAGCCACTGGTCCAGCAACCCTGCCAACATGCCCTGAGGGCCTGTTCTGGGCTGGCTCACAGTTGATAGACAGCCATTAAAGCAAGTGAGAGCCATAATGTGGAGACAGATCTGCAGGGCCACGCAGGCCCCACTGGCCCCAGCCCATGCCTCCTCCTGGAGAAGAGACTGGGCAGGAGCCTGCAGTTGGTGAGTGGGAAGGGTGGGCCCTAGGGCAAACCTTTCCCCCTCCCATGCCCTCCCCCCTCCCCGGTACTAACGGCCTGGATGAGCCTGTGGCAGAGGCTGGGGCGGTGGTGAGGTATGTACTCCCTCTGCCCAATCCAGGAAATGCCCAGTTCCTGGTGGTGCCATCCTTGGTTCCTGTCAGGCTTCAGAGGGTCTGTGCTTCAGGTTGTAATTCAGGTTGATGTGGGAAGGATAATGGAGTGCCTCTCAGGACCGTTTCTGATGCTGATGCCGGACTGAGACTATAAGTCTGGCCCAGGCCTGCTGGCTGGGGCCCCCCCATCCCCACCCTCCCCAACCCCGCCTCAGCTGGGTTCCCCTGCCCTGCCAGCACCAAGACTTAGGGCTTCTCTGGGGGCCTCACTGGGCAGAGAGGAGCTTAGCAAAGGCTAGCAGCTCTCTCAAAGCTGGGATTCCAGGAGGAGCCACTTCCCCTTTTTTTTACCAAATGGGTGACTAGTGGCTCAGCCTGGCCTTGGAGAGCATGGGGCCTGGGCTGAGGGCAACCGTTCACCTTGTTAGTAAGGCTGGGCTCTGGGCATCTGGAGCTCTGGGGGCTGCGCCTTAGTGGTGAGACGCCGAGAGTGTGGAGGAGGGGACAGGAGGATGGCTAATGGGAAGCAGGTGGAAGGGGTGCCTGTGTCCCAGCCCGGGGACAGGCCTCTGGGATGGCCCAGGCAGTGGGAGAACCCGTCAGCGCACAGATAATCCCAGGGAACAGGCTCCGAGATGCCCATTCATATTCATTATGTGTGAAGCGGGCGGTTGTAAAGTTCGCTTTCCCTTCATTTGGCTGTCACTGGACAGAAAAATATGAGCTGTGGGCAGATGCCCCTGGCTGGGAGCCAGGAGCTGGTCCCGGCCTCCCTGTGCCCTCCCCGCCGGCCCCTCCTGGCCTCTGCCCGCCTCCCGCTCCCACTGCGGGATCCGGGCTCAGCTGTACTTTCTTCTCTCCTCTGTCTCCTTCCCACTCCTGCTTCCTCGGCTTCCCCGGGTCTCTTCCCTTTCTCCATCTTTTTCTAAGCTGTGCTTGACCACTGCTCTACTCGCACCCAGCACAGTGCCTGGCACAGAGTGGTTTGTAAAACAAACGACGCTCTCTGACTTGGTGGGACGGAAAGTCCACAATTGTGCTGGCCTCTCCTCGTGGGAAGAAGCTTCTGGTCTTAGCCCTGGACTGAGGAACGTGGGTCTGTGCCCGGCCGTCACTGACCAGCGGGTCCTTCCACTCGGACTCTTCCCTTCCTCAGGGACCAGGACTCACCTGAGGAGAGAAGCCACTGGAAGCCAGGCCCTGAGCGAAGGGAAGGGAAGGACACGGGTTTCCTCGGGGACACGCGTCTAGTCCCAGGGACTTGCTCCCCTTTGGGAATAAGCCAAGCACGGGAGTCTGTGCTTGGTCTCTCTGCGCCTGGATGGAAGAGGAGGCACCGGGGTGGCGGGGCTGCTGGCTGAGCTGAGCTCGGAGCAATGTGGTAGGATTTACCGAGGGTGGGAGGGCCAGCCCTGCTTTTTCCTGCCTTCCGGGCTGTGGAGATAAGGCAGAGTGGGGATGAAGGATAGAATGGGTAATACTCTGAAACCACAAGAAAGGGTCCTGGCTTTCGTCTCTGCCCCACAGTCCAGACACGCTCCCGGGGCGTCTGGGGGAAGGAGCCACCCCACCCCCACGGCTCTGGGGTCCCGCCCAGGGGAGCGCACAACCCTCAGTGGGTTTGCTGGTCTTCCATTCACTCCCCTTCCCACCACCAATGTGCCCTCTTAATGAGGCCTGGCACCTTGTACACAGAGCCTGGGCAGGCGACAGGGCTGGCATGGCAGGCACCAGCCTTGAGGGCCTGGCCCAGCCTGGGCCCTGAGCAGACCAGTCCTAGGGCTACCCAGTGCCCACCCCTGAAATATGCAATCACCGGGTCAGAAACACTGCCCCTTTATTATTATGCTGGGCAGCACTTGTTTTTACAAACGCATCTTTATAAAAGTGGGGGCATCTTTCTTACCAACGCCCAACGAGTAAACCAAGGGAGCTAGGTAGGGTCTCCATGGCATAGCTCTGGCCTGACCCCATGGAGGAGAATCCAAGCATTTGGTGGTTTCGGGTAGGACGTCTGCCCCTTGGAGGGGAGGACTCCACAGCATGTTGGGGAGGGGCACAGGGGAGGAGGAAGGGGCGGCTGTCTGCCCCTTGGAGGGGAGGACTCCACAGCATGTTGGGAACGGGCGGCTCAGCACCAGCTCCATTCAGCTTCCAGGCCCCCGTCAATGCCAGACACTGGGTGCACGCCCCCTGGTGGCGGGAGGGGGAGTGAGGCCCCAGCTGGTCTTAGGAGATGCGAGCCACATGCGGCTCTTTGGCCCCTTGCGTGTGACTCTTCCTAAGCCTTAGGAGTACCCTAATTAAGTTAATAACAATGTACCTACCTCTATAGTTTAAGTTTAAAAAATTTGGCTCTCAAAAGAAATTTCAATCGTTGTACTGTTGCTATTTGGCTCTGTTGACTAATGAGTTTGCCGACCACTGCCCTAAGTCACCAGATCCCCTGCTTCAACCCTGTCCTGCTCCCATTTTCCTGCCTTCCCCAGATGAGGAGCCAATGAAGCCAGTTCAGTCGGAGGGGCAAGAGTGACCCTCGGACGGGGTCTGAAGGAGGCAGGACGGAGTCTCTCCAGCCCAGCGTGGGGGTGAGGGGACCCAGTGCGTGGTAGGAAGAGTCCACCGGCTTCGATGCCCTCTCTCCTGGGCAGCCCGCCTTATTCTAAGAGAAAAGACTCGGCGAGAGGCTGAGGACTCCAGCTGCTCTGCCCGCCCTGGGGACCATCTGGAGCTCGGAGGCAAAGGTGTGTCTCTCTGGCATCCAGGCCAGGGTGGGGTGGGAGCAGCCGGGCACAGGGAAGGGGTGGCAGCTGGGTCTGCATGTCCACACGTCTGATCACGTGGTCCAGTTCAGCAGGCTGGGCGGCTCCTTCGGCTTCACCCTGAGCGAGACGAGGCTTGGAGACTTATAGTCGACATCCGGGGCGGCCTCAAAGCTGTGGTCCCCCAGGGCCGGGGTGAAGCTGTGGAGGGAGTAGAGGCCAGGGTGCGCTCCGGGGGAGGCCGGCACCCCCATGAAGCCAGCCACGTTCCCGTGCGAGTGGGAGTACGGAGACATGCACGGGGAGGGGATGCCCTCTGGAGACACGAGGCAGGGCCCGGCGGGGCTCCCAGACGCGGGGCTGGGCCACAGGGAGTTCTGCAGCTGCAAAGAGAAAGCAGGCCCGTGAGTCCGGAGCCCCGGGACTGGCCCCTAACCAGGGCTCTCTCTTTGCCCTTAGGGCTCCGGACACTTCCCAAGAAGCCTCCACTTGGCACAGGTCTAGAATCTGCCACCCTCCTCCCCCTACACTCGCAGAGGCATCTCAGGCCCTGGCACTGCTTCTCAAATGAGTTTTCCTCAGAGTCCTCTGTGCCAGCTGCTCTGTGCTGTCAGGGTGACGAGGGCCCCGCTGGCCAGCGGAAGACATGGTTTGCCCAAGTCACACAGGCCCCGAGGCCACTCCAGGTCTCCCCAGGGCTAGAGCTCACACTCACTGGCTACCCCACGGGACACGGTCACGTCCGACTCGGCAGGAGTGGGGCGGGGCCGGTGTCTCACCTGGGGGTGACTGTCCGTTCGGGGCAGCACAGAGATGTCATAGGCAGACGAGAAGGGGTTCCGCCCCTCCTGGATCTTCCCATAACGCTCCCGCTTCCGCCACTTGGCTCTGCGGTTCTGGAACCAGACCTGGGGCAGAGGGGAGAGGCCGAGGGGGTGGTGAGGCGGCCCCGAGGAGTGGAAGGGGCTTGGGGAGTGGATGGCTGTGTCCCACACGGTGGCAGCTGGCTATCATTTATGTGTCGGCCTCTGGACTAGACGTTGGCAATGTCAAAACTGAGCCAAACCAAAGCCATTCCCCTGCTTTCTAGGGATCTAGCTGGGGCTGCAAACAGAAGCAGCTGTGTGTGTGTGTGTGTGTGTGTGTGTGCGCGCGCGCGCGTGTATGAGTGTGTAAAAGTGACCTCACCCAAGCCCCTCACACTTGCCCCCGTCATCCTACCCATGCAGGCGGGTCAGGCCCTGAGTTAAGAAGCCGGGCACATCCCACCCCCAACCTGGGGTTGCAGAGCCCCCACAGCAGCCCTGGGCAAGCTCAGGGAGGGCTGCCCGCCTGCCAGCTCCCAGCCTTCCTCTCTCCCATCAGAGGAAGTACCCTACTCGAGGGCCTCAGTCATTGGGAAGCTGCTGGACTAGGTCTGGGGCCTTGTGGCTGCGCCCGCACCCCTCCAGGTTGAGAAGCCAAGGAAAGGAAGGGTCCACGTCCCAGAGCAGCTCTGTAGGGGTAGCTGGTCAGAGCCCAGCCCGGAGGCTGGCTGAGGCCTCGGAGAGAGACCTGCTGCTCTGACTTCATGCTTATGTAATCGGGGCTGTCGTGGCTGTTGGCCACCTCCCTCTGATGGCCCCAGGCCCTGGGGGAGCACAGTGGACAGTTCCAGAAATCTGTTATGGGAGGAACATGGAGGCAGGAGGACCCGGCACAGAAGGGGGGACAGCCCAAGCCCTCTGGTCCTGTGTGGGATCCAGCCGAAGGGCCTTCTCTATTGGGCGGCACTGGCCTGATGGCCCCCATATCCTGCCAGAGCTGCCCCGCGCCAGTGATTTCACAGGCTCTAGAGAGGCCCCGCAGGGGTGACAGCGTGAGCTCTGCCCCTACAAAGTCTCCCATTTAGAAATCACCTCTGAGCCTTTCCCCAGAAGCCCACCCCAGCCCTCTCCCAGGGCCTCCTGCTCAGCAGGGCAGCGACCTGCTGTGTCAGGCCAATTCCCAGCAAGGCCACAGCGGCCACCTCCTCCTGGGCCTGACTCTCACGGAGCCTCCCATCACCACCCCTGCTTGCCACCTTCAAGTTCGTTCCCACGTCCAAAATGCCTTAGGCACTGACTTCCTGTCTCCCTCTCCCTTGTTCCTAGGCCCTCAACCCCACCCGCATCCTCACAGGCTGGGCTCCACGCTTGTGAAGCCGGCCACGGCCCCTCCAGAAGTCTGGGGCCTGACCCCTTCTGGGAGGTTTGCTGGGTGGGGCGGGGCTCCTGGCCAGGGTCTGAGTGTTGGTAGGACTGAAAGTCACTGGCTCAGGATGGCTTTGGGTGTCACTGAGCCCGAGACGACCCCCCCCAGACCCTCCCTTCTCACAACCACCTCTGGAGCAGTGCTCATACGTGCTCAGCATCTCACTGCTTCCACAGGCTGCCCTTTGGGGCTCCCTGAACTGGGAAACCGGAACCCTGACATTCAATGGCATGTCCCCAATCACCCGGTCAGCCAGTGCGCGCAGAGGGGACTGCCACGCAGAGGCCACCACCCCCATACCCAGGCCTAAGCCTCAACTTGGGCTGCCAGCCTGTGGCCCCAGCAGAGCTGGGCATGGAGGGCGAGCCCAGGAGGGCAGGCACCTGGGAGTGCTGGTGCCCACCTCTCCCAGCCCTTCCAGGGCCTGGCCTGCTGTCTGGGTCTGGCCCACTGTCTGGGTGCCCTCACCTGAACCCGGGCCTCGGTGAGGTCGGTGCGCAGAGCCAGCTGCTCCCGGGCGTACACGTCGGGGTAGTGGGTTTTCTGGAAGACCTTCTCCAGCTCCTCCAGCTGGAACGTGCTGAAGGTCGTGCGGTTGCGGCGCTTCTTGCTCTTGTTCTTGGCCAACTCCATGGTGTCAGGGAGTCCCGGGGACAGGGGGACACGCAGGCTGGCCAGGCAAGGGCCGGGGGAGCCTCGCAGGGTGGAGGGCCCGTCTCTGGGGCCCCCTCGGCAGTCCAAGGGCAGCTGGGGGAAGTTGGCCACCTTGGAGGCCTTCTCCTCGGCTGCAATGGAAACACAGAAAGGATGGAAACCGAACCAGGGGGTTTTGTGGGTGGAATGGAGGGAGGGGAAGACTGTTGACGCTCCAGTCCCTGCCTCCCCCTTCCTTTTTCTTCCCTTCCTCAGGCAGCCACCCTCCATGGGAGCCTGGCATGAGGAGGCGTCCTGCTGAGCCTCCAGCTGGGGAGGGGGCCCAGGGGAACCGGGCTGTCTGTGGTCTGGGCGGATCTGCCGGGGCCAGAGGGGGTCCATTTCGGGGAAGCGCTCTGGGGTGGCGCATCCCACAGGGTGGGGAGGTGCCAGGATTGGCGCCATGGCAGGGCCTGGCGCAGGGGTGGGAGGAGGGGGTGAGGATGGAAGGGTGGACATCTATCTCCCTGCCCCTGCCAGAAAGTGCCTCCTGGTCCCTTGTTCCCATGTCCTTGGTTCCCATGTCCTCATGCCCAGGACACGGATGGATGCTGACAACCTTTGCTGGTCTGGACCCCAAGTCTCAGGGCTAAGTCAAATCCCCTAGCCCTGGGGTATGAGGGCAAGAGGGGGCAAAGAAGCTTCCAGAGGTGTCATCTCATTCCTGCCCACATTGTGCTGTTTGGGCAAGGACATAGCCCCAGCGACAGGCAGGAGGTAGGCTGTACGCAGAGAAAGGGAGTGGGGCAACCAGTGTTGAAACAGGGCACAGCTCCCAACCCATGTTCCCATCATAGCCTGCTCCCTCCCTCCTCAAGAGCCTGACAAGCAGGGGGACCTGAGTGGCGACTGGGACGGTCCCCAGCAGCCCTACCCCAGGGCACTCCCCCTCCCCCTGGAAGCTTGGCGAGTCCTGCCAGGACCAGGGCACAGTGAGAAACAGGTCACCCTACTGCCCGCTCTCTCCCTCTGGCGAGGCCCCCAGCAGTGCCACCATGAGACCTCCACCCAACAGTCTGCTGGGATGGCAGGAGCAACGCCACAAAGATGCCCCACTGACTCACACGGCCCCTCCCCTGGCCCTCAGCCCGTCCCCAGCAGGGCCTGGCCCTGGAGGCCCAGCAAGCTGGCACCGAGAGGCAGTTTCTTCCCCAGGATTTGTGTCAGGATCACAGCTGTCATTGAGGGGGCGTAGGGGGAGGATGGGACTGGGGAGATGGCTTCTGGGGTTCCGGTTCTGATGAATCCCTATGTGTGTGTAGAGGACACGTTGTGCAAGGTGCCCCTCAGCTGGAAGGTGGTCAGGGACTTCCCAGGACCCCTAGGAGCCAAAATAAGCTCCGAGTTGTGTGTCCTGGAGGCTTGGGGGAGTCAGGTAGGGCCTGTGCACAGGTGTCCCTCACGGCTCAGGTGGAGCCTCGCAGACAGCAGAGGAGGAAGTGCTCCCGCTCTGGCTTCCATTCGGGGCCATGTTTTGTCGTCATTGTTCTAGGGGCAAGTCCATGTGGTAGGAGCTTAGGAAGAAGGGCTTATGGAAGTTGAACCGAATCATTGGAAACGGTCAGGAAGACCCGGAGACTGACAAGGCCTGACACATAGCAGGCCGGAGTCTCAGGTTCAGAGGGAGGTCCTGCTGGACTGGGCGTACAGGGTGAGTGTGGCTCAGGGATGGGGGCCAGGGGAGTGCGGACATCACTGCGGAGGGCAGTGACCTCACCCCAAAGCCCTGGGCCTTGCTCTTCTGCCTCTTGGGCCCTCATATCTGTTCCAAGGGGATCTTCCCAGAGGAAGCCACCTGATCTGGGGCTGCAGGACTTGCCTCCCTGAGTCAGCCACCCAGGATCAGGGAGGAATGTGCAGCAGGACTTCTCAGGATGGCTCCCCCAAAAAGCACAGCCTGCCCAGTCTCCAGCCCTGTCTGGGGACCAGAGCTTCTCCCTCCTGCCATTGCCTGGAAACCTCCCCCTCTGCCTGAGGACTCGGGGAGGGCACCTCCCCCTCTTTGGAGGATAGGGCAGCCTCCTGAGGATGGAAGCCCAGAGAAGAGGTGGAGGTGGGCGGAGAGCCGCTGGGCAGGCCAGCAGTTTGAATTTTAGCGTCTAAGGCCCAGCGCCTATAGGCTGTGTGGGAGTCACTTGCACCTGGTGGGGACACTGGATGTTAAAGGGGAGCCCCCGTGTTGGACACTGGGAGCCCCGGGCTCAACGCTTGCGTGTCTAGGGCCTGCCTAACCGCAGCACCACAGCAGCCAGGGGTTGGGGGTCGAGGGGAAAGGCAGGTGCCAGGACAAGGACCTCTGAGGGGCCACGGAGCTCCGTCCCTGACTCACTCTCACGCTCCCAGCACTCCCACCGCACGGGGCTGCCAGCGCCCAACTAGCTGCAGCCTCGGAGCCGCGCAGCACGGGAGCCCTACTGCCCTCACGATGGCGTCCACTGAGGCCCCAGAACCAGCTACCCGGCTTTGAACTTTCTCGGCAGCTTGCTCCGCGCTCTCGCCATTTCCCAAGCGACCCTCAGTGCTAGCGGAGGCGAGGGCTCCTGCAACTCTGGCTGAAAACCTGAGGCCCGTGTGGACATAAACGTCGCATGTGGGACCCCGTGGGGCCTGGTGCTCTCCCTAGTTTCCCAGCCAATAACCTGGAACTCCCCTCGAGGCATGGTCCGCTCGGGAGTGCGGCTCCTATAGGTACCCAGCTCAGGGCCTCCGCCCCAGCAGGCGAGGTCCGAGGTCAGGGAGCCAAGCGAAGGGACAGACGGCGCGGCCCCAGGCAGAGCAGGACGGACCCGCCGG